TCTAGCAGAAACCCAAAAGCACCAATTGTTATAAGCATATTTCTATATTCGCCATCAAGCGAAAGTTCTGGTACTAATACCATGGCGATAAATCCAAAACTAATTGGCAGAAAACAGGCGACGAATAGTGTCGAAATGATCACCACCATTTTTGCTACTTTCTGATTTCGAGCCGCTATATTATCTGCCTGTGCTGATGTTGTCGATTTCTGTCTCCACTGAGTTTTTCTCCTTAGTTTGAGCACAAGGATCAGGGTACAGCAAATGATTACTGTAAAAGCTGTGAATGGGATAAACACATTGTTGATTGGGAAAGTCACATTCTCTACTTCTTCTTTGTTATCTGCGTAAATAAGGCCAAGAATAGTTCTGTTTCTTCTGTGATCAAATCGCATGCCAAACTGAGTGACAACGTAGAGTGGGGCAACGCTGAATATTAGAATAATAAAGATGGATGTGATGATGATAAATACACGTCGAGGGGTGATAATACTCTTTACCTATGGAGAACAAGAGAAAATAGATTATATGGGATACACTCTGATGAAATATACATACAGGTTGTTAATATTTTAATAAATACGGTTTCTAGGACCTCGAGCGTTCCCCCTCAGTTTATTTATTGTATTACGTATAACACAGTGATACCGACCATACACATCTCTTTCTAAAATTGTCGTTATAGTATAGACCTTTCAGTAGGGTCTGATGTGTTTGTAACTGTTGTTGATTGTTATTCGACTTATGCTTGGTTAATATAAATTTATGTAAACTTTAGTTAAGTAAAGGACCCATTTCCAGACCTTTAGGCATATAGGGCAAAAATGGCTGGACCTATAATTTTTTAGACCAATTGGCACAAGATTGGTCATGTGGCCACCTTTACTTCCCGGGACTGCACCCAGTACCCACTCAAGGCTGGGTAGACCTGGAAGCCAAGTTTATTTTTGAAAAAATGTCTGGCACCGCCAGGGAGCGAACCCACCACCACCCTCTGCCCTTGGTTAATATACATTTATATAAACTATAGTATCGTTTAACTGCTTTGAAACGAACTTTGTGGGTATTCCATAGATGTGGAATTCAAGATTTACTAACAGACATAGCTACTGACTTTTGTTAGGGGTGCCTAGCTGGTCATGTATGTTAGTACAATTGTTTTCATAAAGAGGCGTATTCCTCATTTGGAGGTCACAGGTTAAATTCCCGACTCGGTAACAACAGCTTTCAAGTTTAATGTGGTCTATGTGTTGTTCTATCTTTCTACTTCTTTCTGTGAAAGCCTATCAATACATTGTCGTTTTTGCAAATTATATATTCTATATTATAATTATTTATTATGTATTCTACACCCTCAGTAGTCCCGCTCTTTTTATTTATGTACAAAATAGTTCTATGTGGTATCTCGACTGTTACCGATTCATGATCGTCTCCTGAATCATCTGCGGGTCCTGCCTCCTAGAGACCACTCAGCCCCCTTTTGTACGGTGGTGGTTGAAAACATATAATGACACCTTACTTAAATGACATCACAAGTTATGGAAAATGTAACTTTTGTACGTACAATAGGAAAATTAGAAAAGTTAGGTTCTTGGGAGCATAACTTTTTTAACCAGCTATAAAGCTAGCGGGGCAAAGACGTCTGGAAGGAAAGGGGTACCAGATAGGTCAGATTTTTGTTCTGACCTGCAAAGCAACGGGCCTAGCAAGCCGGCAGTGGTGTATTTGATTGCTACTACTCACCGCCATTGTTTTAAATAGGTAAAAATAATGACTGCATGGTACTGTGTCTGTAGAGAAACATTAACTCGAACAAGGGTTAAGGTTAGTTGCGTATCTTTTAGAGGACGTTGCAGAACCAACCCCAACAGCCCCTGGCTGTCGAACAAGGGTTAGCATTGAAAAAAATATATATAAATTGTAAAACACAAGCTTTTTTGTGGTGTAGCGGCTAGATGTTCACTTGCAGATTCGAAGGTGGATGGGTCCTTTTCTGGCCGCTCTCTTATCCCCCCCCCCCCTTGTCTATGTGATTGTAAATCACTTGAGAAGGATGACATAAGAGAATTATTTTTTGTTTTCATCGCTGCCCCTGTGTAGATGCCGGGGCCCTATTATAGGGAAAACAAGAAAAGAAGAGAGTCGACTAATTGGGAGCTCTCTTCGAAGTCGGAGTGGAAAAAGAAGAAGTTTCTGACGGAGTCAGACTATTTTTTACCCACAAACAACTTTAGCTGCCAGGTCTACCAGGCCTAAAATGAGTACCAGGTAAACTCCTGGCAGGTAAAGGCGACCGGCATGGTGTTGAGAATATCACCTAGTCTTTAAAAAAATAGGTCTGGCCCTATATGCCTAAAGGCGTTGAATAGGGTCTTTTACGTTGTACGTTGTTATATTAGAAATGACACAGGACCTTATCAGAAATGCATGGCAAACAGCAATTTATGAGGTACCCTTAGAGGAGCCGCTATGCATAAACATCTCTCAAATGTAATAAATGCTGTAACCCAAGCTGTCACTCTTGTAAATGTCGTATGAGGCATTCCTGCAGTCAAGTACTGAACCTCAACCGTGTCAAATGGGAGATCTGCTTCACTAAATGCCGGAGTATTACATATGTTGGTCCATATGAGAGTTGACAGACAGCCCAGATCAGACATAGCCAGGCCTGTTGATGAAAACAAACTCATATTTTTTCAACTGTAAAACTGTTATCTTTAAACTGAAATACGATAGAATTATTATTATAAACATTTTCCTATAGCCCCCCCCCCCCCCCCCCCTTGTTTTTTTCTCCCTGTTGCCCATGTTAGGTAGACACCCAGAAACAAAATCAATAAATAAAAACAACACAGAAATAACACTAACAAGTAAATTTTATCTAGGATCAATGTTGACATGAGAAGGATGAAAGAATAAAGATATCAACACACTGTATAATGTAATAATAATTCACAGCGGAACCAGGCTCACCAATAGTTACCTATCATCATTAGCTGTCGGCTCTGTGGCTAAGTCGATGCGAACGCTTCGTAATGCCGGGATGCCGGGTTCGATCCCAGAACCGGGCCATGCGCCTTGCGTTGGTTTCGACAGTGGTATCAAGAAAGCCGACCGTCCAGTAAGCAATTGCAGACTCATCATCATCATGTAGCAGGTCCTTTGCAGAACGTAGCTCTCATCACAGTCTGCCTGAAAGAAACTCGGTCTCTCGCCAGTTCTCCTGCCTCATATACTTTCACACTCAAGGAGTCACTTATATCCTGTGCCCATCTTCGTGTCGGTCGGCCCCTGCCCCTCCTTCCTGGTACCATGCCTTCTGCTATAGTTTTTTTCCAATCCGTTGTGGCCCTTGATGTGACCAAAATATTTCAGCTTCCGAGAAAGGATGCTGTTTATTAGCCAATCTTCCTTGATATACAGATCTTATAAGATGTCAATATTTCTCCTCTTCTTTGTCCAAGATATTCTGAGAATCTTTCTATAGCATTTCAGCTCAAAAGCCCCTATTCTCTTTCTTAAGGACTGAGAGATAGTCCACGACTCACATCCGTATGTAGCCACAGGGAAGATGCATGCTGGATTGCAGACTACAAGACGTAAATTGCCTAGAGAAACCACACAACAGTCAGGGGCTGTTGGTGTTGGCTCTGCAGCGTCCTGTAAAGGATACGCAACTAACCTTTACCAGCATAAAAAAAAAGGATGCTCGTCGACAATTGTTTCTGCCCGTTATCATCCTAGAAAATCTCACAGGGCGGACCGACCTGGGTCATGACTCCAAGACCTCGAACTCTCCTATTGCGATTTTCGGACTTTCGGACAAGAGGTAATTTTTGGTTTTGTAGCAGGTTGTGGAAGTCGCCGTTGCCGAGCGGCTAGACCCTCGCAGGCAATTGGGATGTCGTGGGTTCGCTCCCAGGAGAAGTCGGACTTTTTTCAAAAATGACCTTTGCTCCCAGGTCGACCCAGCCTTTAGTGGGTACCGGGTGCAGTCCTGGGAAGTAAAGGCTGACCACATAAACCATCTTTGTGCCGATTGGTCTATAAAAATATAGGTCTAGCCCTATCTGCCCTATACTCCTTAAGGCGAGGAGAAGGGTCCTTTACTTATTTACTTACTGATGTTGTGGTTTTATATATATATATATATATATATATATATATATATATATATATATATATATATATATACGGTCGCTGCGGTAGCAAATGTTGCCCTCACTGTGTTAAAGTACTGTTAAAACTAACAAACTAAAGCTATCTTGACATTTATAAGCATACTTTTGATTACGAGGATTAATCTAAAAAAAACTTCTCTTGGGGGGAGGCGAGGGGGGGGGGGGGGGAGGGGGGAATAATCTCTGCCCCAATCCTCCCCTTTTCCTGATGACAATTCTGTACACTTTTGACTCGCTGTTTTACAGACCTTTTCTTCCTCTACCCAGAAGCTACACCCATGTATCAGCTTGATAGAAACAGTTCCAACTTCATAGCCAATGTGAAGGAACCTTTTTAAGTCTTTAATCTTATAGGACATATAGATCCCTTTTCACGCCCTAGGCGCGTCGGGAATATGGGAAGAGCATCCATTTTTTACAGACCAAATGGCACAAGATGGGTGATGTGGCCAGCATTAGGCCGGCCGCCTTTACTTTCCAGGACTGCACCCTGTACTGACTTAAGGCTGGGTCGACCTGGAAGCTAAGTTCATTTTTGAAAAAAAAAATGAGTCTGGCTCAGCCAGGGACCGAACCCATGACCTTTCAATCCACATGCGAGCGTCTAGCCGCTACGCCACGGCGACTCCCTAACAGCACCTGGGTTATTCTATAATTGCCCTAGTCGTCTGCCTGTAAAGTCCACACACAAATCAGAGCAGTCAGCTCGTTTAGAATTCGAAGTCATGTCCTTGGGTCCAACACGCAAGCACACATTCACTATCAACACTTGGCTCACGGATAAGGTATCTTTACATTTATGATTACATTTATAATTACCGATAAGGCTGACATTAACAGGGTCTTTACAACCCTGTTTGACAAAACAGATAATATTAATGATGTTGGCTCCAATACCGGCAACGTCAATTATTTGACACAGAACTGAAAAGAAAATCCACTGAATAATCACTACAACTCGCTGGTTTATAAGAGCGTCCGGTTCAATGTTGTCACTCACTGCAGCAATTAATAGTTCTGATACGCTGGAATTAATTTGTTTAGTCATCATTTATCAATGTCACTAACCTCAGGCACTAAACTAAAGATGCAATTAATTGACTATAGACAGAAGGGAAATAGGGCACGTTAAATATTAACGCATGTGTGGAATATATTAGTACTATTGGTAATGGTAAATATATATAAAGAAATTTTATTTGAAACAGGTACTTATGGTTTCCTTACAAAAGTATGAAAGAAACATCAATAAGTGTGACAAATTTAAACAAAGCGATAATTCTGAATAAAGTATGCACTGTATGTTGGACAGAAAAAGACACCGAAGGCATTCAGGCCATGTCATTGTTTAGGTAGACGGTGAATGCCGTCCGAAATAACAATAAAGACTGTGGTTGCTCACCGAACCTAATGTTTATTGCGTTTGTTACGTGGTACCGACTGTGAACACTCCGATATTGCAGTTTCCTCCTAACAACCTGTTAAACTATCTTAATTTAGTTGAAACATCCAACTATTACGCTAGCAAACACATTCTTCGACAACGGCCCACATGTGTTGCTGCATCAATTCGTGGAGGTTTTTTCTCCCAAAAAAGTATGCGCTCGACCCGGTCGTGGAGGATGTGTCGTGAACTCGGATCCTTTCAGAAATATTCGTGCCCAGGCTTTCTCTGTTGTCTTGGACACATGTGTTTCCTTACGCTGTCTGCATTCTTTGACCAATGCCATCTGGTTGAAATGCTTGAAATGAAAGAAATTGAATCACAGAAATTCGACCCTCTTTAGACGGATATTAGATTAGAGGATAATGTCCTCATCGGACAGAATCATAACCTATGCATCATGGGATAAAAAAGCACATGCTCATTAATTCATTACCCAGTACACATTTTATAACTATGACATGATCATATTCAATGCATTCAAGTACGCACGGTGATACACGATCGGGTTTCAAATAAACGCTCCTGTTAGCGTTGAGCAAAGCCATTAGTGTTTTGTCTCTTTGGTAAATTTTTTAAGATAAAGGTGATTCTTAAGCATACTTGAGTCACTGCTGCTGTTTCAAACACTTTTTTTTTTTTAAATCTAAATCTAAACGCAAACATCATTAGACACATTTGTGTGTGTATATATATATATATATATATATATATATATATATATATATATATATATATATATATATATATTTGTGTGAGGGCCATATCACACCTTAACTTCCAGCGAATGTTATTTGTTTTTATTACTGCTATTATTTGTGTTATGTTGATGATGATGATGATGATTATGACATAAACTAATTGAAGTATCTTGTTAAAGCTTATCTGACTTAACACATTATGTTCCTATAACTACTTGGTCCATGATTATGACATAAAAACCAATTGAGTTATGTTGCTGAAGCTTATCCGGCTTAAAACATTGTGATCCTATGATTACTTGGTCCATGATTATCAAATAAAACCAACTGAGTTATGTTGCTGAAACTTATCTGACTTAACACATAATGATCTTATGATTGCTTGTTGTGACATAAAACCAACTGAGTTATGTTGCTGAAACTTATCTGACTTAACACATAATGATCTTATGATTGCTTGTTGTGACATAAAACCAATTGAGTTATGTTGTTGAAGCTTATCTGACTTAACACATTATAATCTTATGGTTACTTGGTCAAATCGCGATAGGTAGTCAACATATTCGTTTTAAGCATGCATGTAAACTTGAAACTGTGAAAGATTTGGGTGCAGAGGAGACCTGAGTCTGACAAAATTAAAGATTTATAGCATACCCATGCACTTCATCTTTGTGACATTAGTAGATGCAGATATTATTAGGTCATGTCTTATTCTTATTCGTCGACTTCTTTGGCTGTTAGCTTTGGTTGGAAGTTCGGATTGTTTGTCCACTTCTGAATTTTAGATTTGTTTTAGAATTTGAGATTTGTGTGCACACCTGTTTTACAGGGAAAAAAAAGACCTCTAATTAGTCACCAGGCTTGATATAGGGCACTGCGCCCACCCCCACCCTTCCAAACCCCCACCCCCACCCACCATTTACAGTGAGGCCCTGGAACACGTATGGGGACTGCATTTTGTTATTGCAGTGAAAAAGTATATGAAATACTCATTAAAACATACATGATAACATCACATGCAATGTATAGCTACAATTCATTCCACTCTATGCTCAATAGCTTCGTTGTCTGCCTGTGAGTGAGTGACGTTTCATTTATACTGATTAAATAGTTATACAACAAGAAGACATTATATCAGATTATTGAAACGTCTGGACCTATAAATGAAATATAATCAGTACAACATTGCCCTCGATGACGTCCAATGCCCTCAATATAGAAGTTAAATGTGCCCATGATTAAACAATTCAAATATACCTTTTTTTTTAAAAAAGCTACCACATGAGTATGGTCAACATTTGTATTTCACTAAATTCTCATTTGCTCGCAAAAGGAGAAACGTAACCCCTGCTACAGGGAATTTCTATACAAATCTACAGCTGTGCCCAGAATGCTACTACTTTATACAATGAGTGTGCTGTCGTGAAGAATATTCTAGCAAATTAATTTGAAGTAAGATGTAAGTACGATCATAATTGAATTATCCAGGCTTTAAACACCAGAAATGCATCAACACTTGCAGGTCATTGTGGTCAAATATCTCTATGTAGGCACCCTAGAAAGACTTCTCCACTGTAAGAGAGCCCCTTTTCACCCCTTGAGGTGAATCGGACATATATTTTTGTAGATCAGTCGGCAATCGTAGGGTGGTGTGGTCAACATCATGACGGTTTCCCTACTGCATATCTAACGTAAATATTATCTACCTTCGTTTCGAAGTCGGATCGTATCTGTCTTAGAGACGAGTACCAATAACCTGCAGATAATAAGTCAGATCTGGATCACCACGAAGGACTATCTGTCGAAGTTTAAGGCTGGTAAACGCGTACACAAAGTGATAAATACCGGAGAATGCTCCGTAAGGCAGTGGTCTACCCACTGATACTCAGTGGGAGACAACTAATGGATCTGCCGCTTTTCACATTCGGATTTAAATGAGTTGAGTTGTGCTGAGTTGAGTCAAGAATTGACAGCACATCACTCGGGGCATTCCCATGCAGTTCCGATACTGACGGTAGAGGTCACAATCTGGTTAAAAGTAAAATCTGGATTTAATGAAAGCTCATTGAATCATTGTACCAAGATTAAACTATGAAAATGCTACTACAAATTCCTGAATAATTAAATTTATTGTCAAAATTGTTAACATTAATCAACATCATCCTCATTTGCGTTTTACGTCACATAAAGCTGAAAGTTTATCCTAACATTCAGTTATATCATGTGCGATTGTTTCAATATCCTGAAGGGAATCGAGATTAGAACCTTTGGCCTATTTTATCAAAGTGTGTCTTAGAGCTTCTTTTGAACTTCCTTGTCCCTTTAGTCTATTTTTCCCCCACTTAAATGCCTGTGTTGTCATTCTCTGCTGGCTTCCTCTCAGGGTGTGCCAAGTTAATCATCATCTTTATTGTTTCAACATACGCAGTGTTACAATAGAATAAGTATAGTTATAATATTATTATTAACACCCTTAGTATTAACTACTCTATTGTAACTCTGAGTGGGTAATTCTTTCTATTTACAGTAATGATTGAAAGTAATTTATTTAAGAGGCATTTTAATAGCCTTGATAATGTTGGGGAAACACAAAATATTCATTTAATAATCAATACCTGTTGCTTTTTTCCCGTTTAATATTTTAAAAAACAAAATATTAAAATAAGTTTATAGAAGTCAAAAACGAAAAAAGACTGAGGTAAAACTGTCACTACCAACAACTCGCATAAGATGAACATTCGGGAAACCTGCCATTTGTTTTTGGTCCCAGCATGTGTGTGTTATTGTTAGTGCCTTTCTTACACACTATTTTATTTGATTTGTCGGTCTCTTGGAATTTGTGTTAAGAAGGTTTTATTGTGTTATAATTCTTTAGTACGCATCCCTAGTACAGACCAAAGAACAGATAATATAATATTACTTATTTATATGTTTTTTTTTTTTTTTTTTTTTTAATACATTAGTGTGTGTGTATATATCTGTATCACTGATCTGGAGACTTGTATAGGCCTACTTCTAACTCCCATTTGCACAGTAGGAGTGTTCTTTACAACGTGGTTTAGTGATGCGAGAAATAGATTGTAGTTCTCTAGACTTGTAAAACCATACCTATATAATCCTGTTGTATCTATGTACTGGTTACAATAATTGCATACATTTAAATTACTTTGGCGAGTACAGTAATAACTACAGAATGTTAAATAAACTTCGGAATGCTCATTTCTCTTCGAATTTACCACCGCCATTTGTAGGATTACTCTGCGACGAGATATCGATTGGTTTAAACAAACCCGTTATTGGCGTTATTATTGCTTATCATACCCATACATTATCTTCCTATTTTTTAAAGACAAGGGCAATGAAAATAGTTAACTCAGAAGCTGTCCAAGAATTGACACAAATAACCATGAACGGATTACTGTAATGTAAAAGAAAAATGACTAATAAATACTTGTGTAATTCTTGACATTTTAAAGCTTGATTTTGAAAGTTAAAGAAACAAAATGTTGAAAATTATGGTAATAACGTTTCCTGTTTTGTACGTATTGTAATAATTTACTTTTGGGAATGACAGCGGGCAATCATTTCCCTAATTTTCCACTGAAGTGCACACAGTAACTATATTTTATTTTATTAGCGTTTGTGTTTGTATCTCACCTTATTCTGTCTATTATAACATGTATTAAGTTATTGATGTCATAACAATGACATGTCAATAATGTCCCTATGTGTTTACCAGTACCCCTATAAACGTGAATCATGGATTAGAAAAGAGCACATGTCAAACAAAACATCTAAATGGGGTACTGTCAGGGAGAAAAGAGGCGTTGTCTGAAGATGGATTGATTTACCAGAACAAGGATTCTGACACATAAACTTGTCAGGAGAACTTGATGGCAGTGTAGT